CAAATAAGTCAAGGAGAGGCATTTTCTTGATGCAGTGATATCAAGAAAATGACAGCTAGATATTTGCTAGGTCAAATCTCAAAAGGGACTCATGCCTCAGCTGTCTGACTTCAAAAAAAGCCTAGAGATGAAGGAGTACTTCCCTCAAATCTGCTCCTGGGTTGAAGAATGAATGGAAGCTGGGGGAGCCAGTTAGCATAATTTCATCTGTATCATGCTAACTAGGGCTTATTAGCTTATTAGCAATGTTAGCATTTCTGAGAGAAGTATTCCTTTAGTGTAGGATTGTGGTCACTCTATGCCAACCCATCATCTCTGGTAATTGTCTTTATATGTGGTCATTCCCTGTAAGTAGGTTCATTCTCTTATGAGTGGGAGAAGCTCATGCCAGAACAAGCCAAAGGCCAAAGCAGTGGGGCATCAGCCAAAACAGCCTTTCTGCAATGAGGCAGTCTAGCACTGCTAGCTGGCTTGGAACAACATGTCAAGCAAGTTTTCAATAAATGCTTTTGAGCTGTAGATTATCTGTTACAAAGTGGAGATTGATTTGAAACTCCTCTCCCCAGAATGGGCACCAGAAGAAGAGCACCTTTTTGAGCTTGAATGACTAAACAGTCCACGTAGACCAAATCAGCCTAGCGCATTTTACTGACTTCTAATTTTAAAACACATCACTGTAGACTCTCAGTAACTTTACTACACAAGTAAATCTTTGCAAACAAGTATCAAAACTAGGACAGAAGTAGTGGCAGCACTGCCAGTGTTAAGGGAAGGGGTGTCCCAATCCAACGTGAAGGGTCAGGACTGGAGTGTATTTTGGCTCTGTGAAGCAGTGAGGCACAGTTTTATAAGAGGTTAAAACTTGTTAAACTATTTTTAATAAACAAAAAAAAAGCTTTTAATATATGTGATGTCGTTGAAGATTAAATTACCTGCACATTAAATGTGTGTGATTGTTCTTCAAGCTTATTTTTTTGCCACTGGAAGTGGCTGCCAAAATAGACTTGTGCATTGATTTCCACTCGCGATTAGCATAAAAATGAAAGCATAATTTTTTTGGCTGTGCCACAGCACTTCTGGTACAAAACTGCTTTGAAAGTTAACAGCGTTAACTTGAAACCGTGAGTATTAATGATATCGGTCAATCAAATTGGTCACAAGCCAATATTTATATATGCTATAAACAGTGAGTATACTTACATGCACTTAATAACCTGATTATAATCAGATTTCAGCAGTTATTTGACTATTCAAATAATCATGTAAACAGCATACTCCACTTTCTTAGATCAGATTAAGGCCATTATCAGATTTCTAGAAATTTGATAAAGAGAGCTGGATTATAGCTCAGTAACTGGGTTTTTTAGTGCACTTACTCTGATTTCTTTCATTTTTCTCAGTCTATGCATATGTGAAAACAGACCCGGTACTGGAAAAAGCAAGCTTCTAGATGATGCATATTTATATTTTCCACTAATAAAAAATGTGGTATGACTAGATGATTAGTTTAATGTTACGTTTACGTCACGTCTTATTCTGTGACTTCACTGGCTGGTCGCAAAGCAGACATACAGTTATTGCCTAACACACGTAAATCTGGAGTTTTCCTATTACCAGATTATCTAAGTGACATAAACGAACAAATTACAAATTACAAATCTGATTTTCTGCAATTATCAGATGATTAAGTGCACTCACTATTACCAGAAAAAGCATCAGTTCAAGATATCATATTATGCATATACTAAAAATGAATGATTTTCCATGTCTATAGTAACTGGCACCTTAGCATATCCTACTTAAACTTGACTTAACATATGTATGAGCTGAAAGTCAGTATAAAGTGATATGTTTTGGATCAGAACTGGATAAGGACATCCCTTCCAGTATTATTGGACAGTTTTTGGTGTCTGACATTACAGACATTAAGTGGGATGAATGATAAGTTTTCTCTTCTGTATGAGCCTACATGTTAATTATATTTACCGGTATGCCACATGTGGTTTTGTGCTAACAAGGTATGGAAATGTCTCTACAATCCATGAAAATCAAATCAATTCCCTGTTAAATGGGTTTGTTTGGAGCCCCTGCTCAGATAGCTTTTGGTCTTCTTGTTAAAAAGGCTCTTCTGCAGTTCAGCCTTTCACAAGCTTAGATTCAATTTAAGCTCGGCGCTTCAGGGATGGCTGACATTCTTATGAGTCAGCCCCCCTGACATAACGTCCTTATCTGTACTTCTGATAAGGTTGATACCTTTGAGGAAGCACCTGAAAGAAAAAACTTCAACTGTTTCCCAATGAAACGGATCGCAAGGAGGCTGGAGTTTTACTCAATGACCCTTTGATTTCAAATAAAAGCACGGCGGAGGGACCAGAACTCTAGCCAAGGTTAAAGTGGCCTCCGTACAGTTTGTGCTTTATTTGAAAGAGCGAAAACAACATGCAACAATAATGTGCACACTCACATAATTTGGACATACAGTATGATGAGCACAACTGCTAATGGAATTTCAGTGTTGCTGTTTACTCAAAAACAGATACTGCTGATTACTTCATTCTGACTTTGTAAAATACTTTTTGAAATATTAACATTTCTTATTCATTTTTTGTATGCTACCATTCAAAACTTTGGAAATATTGTTTTCAGTACTATAAAAGTAATTTTTAGCAAATGAATATACTCAATAATTTTAGACTATGCTGATATAATATCATTAATATTTTAGACGAGTCTACAATGATGAGCAGAGCTGTAGATGATTCTCAAATGTTAAGAAAGCAGTGCAGCATCAATAATGAAGTGGCAATACAAGTAAAGGGGAATTCCACTGATTTTTCAAAGTTAGTGTATAATTATGTCATTAATAAGTCATTTAGAGTGGTTTGGCATGAAATGTTCCATTCAAGATAAACATTTTTGGCATTACTATTTATTCTTCATTTCTTTCACCCATCATAGCTCTTTAAAAGTCTTAAAAGTTGTTTTTGTTACTTTCCTTCTTATGTTCTTTATGCTGTATTTTTACATTCTTTGCCATAAAGTCCTTTTTTATTGCCTCTGTGTATAAAATGTGCTATATGGATCGCTCTACTGAATTAGTTTAAACAACAGTCCCACAGTTGAAAAGAAAAAACAATGAGAAATAAATTAAATATGTACAAAATCATCCTTTAAAGAGTACTTTCTATTGTGAGGTCTTTAGATCTTTTCTTTTAAGGTGAAGTTGAAAGATTTTGATGTATCATCAGTTTAAATTTTAAATAAAAAAAAACTTTATTCAGTAATCGCTGTCGCACGTTTTCATTTCACTACTGAAACACAAAGAGTTTTAGTCTGTAGGTGGAGCCTTGTGTTAGCCACGCCCTTGCATTCTAGAGCAGGAAGTGAGACTGCATCCCTGTCCCTCATGGCCACATGGTGAGCAGTTAGATCCCATTGTTTTGAAGTAAATGTGTCTCAAAGTCTAAAATCAGTGTGGAACTGTCAGTGTGGAATTGTCACTACCGAAACACAGTTTTTCACCAATTATTAAACTTATTTGTGAAAAAATATATAGATTTTATGTGTATTCAAAGCCATGTTTGGTAGTCATGTACTGCCAAGTGTTTTTGAATTCTGCTCAAAATGAGCCAAAGTTGTCACTACAGAAACAGTCACTACTGGAACATTTGGTAGGAACATTTATCAGTAAATGAAATACAATAAATATATTTAAGATATAGTGTTACTTAAAGCAAAATGATTTTAATCTAAAGTCCAAGTCAGTTAAATGTCTGAGACATGTTTTCAACTCTGGCTCTGAACCAATTTAGTAGATTGATCCACATAAATAATATAATAGAGGAAGGGTACATGCAGGGTGTTATGAGGCAAAATAGTCCTCGAAAAAAACAAAACGCAAAAACAAACAAACAAAAAAAATTATTTTCTGTCAGATTACATGTAAAACTAAGAAAACAGGTTCTCTGGTGGTTTTGGATAATAAATAAATAAAATGGCTATATTTGTGTTGTAGACATAGAGACCCCTGGTTCCTATCACCACCACCGTAAAGAAATCTGAGTCTGCAAGTTTCTCTACAATGAACCATTTCATATCAAGCTGAATGAGTTTATTCACATCTCAACCATTAAATTCTACAGAAAGTTTTAAAAAATCAGTGGAATTTCCTTTTAAATACGGTAATAGTAAAATATAATAAGGTAAAATATGATAATAAAATCCAGACTGATTCATATATATATATATATATATATATATATATATATATAAACAATATATACAGTGTTGATAAAATATCAAAGCAGATAACAAAAAAAGATTAATTATTTAATTTAATAGCATTTATTAAATCTAAAAGCGACTTATGGACTTCGAAATATTTCTTTTATCATTTTTATTTCTACATTGTTTAAGTTTTTGTTGCATATATACTCTTAAATATTTAGATATCACAAATGGTTCTTTGCAGTATGCATAAGAACCACTTTGGGTTCCCTAAGAAACACATCAATGGTTGGCTCTTTGGAGAATCATTTTTGTAAAAGAAATGTGTGAGTGTGAAGAACCTTCATAACATTTAAAGAACCTCTACATAATGTAAAGCTTCTAGGAAGAACCCTTAAATTAGTATAGAACCCTTAAACCTTTACTCACAAATCTCCCCTTCATGGGAGACATGGTTCTTTAGGGAACCAAAAGTGGTTCTTCTATGCCATCACTCAAAGAACTCTTTGTGGAATCTTTATTAAAAGTGTATAAACACTAATTATTAACAACAAGTCATTCCAAACTTTTGAATGGTACAGTAGAATGGTCATCTGCTCAAAGACCACTAAATAAAGTGAGTCATACTGGACCAAGCTGGACTGCTCTGCCCTTTCCACCCACTAATATAAATAAAGCCTGAGTTCGTCATTAGCAGATATGCGTCATCAGAGTTTAAACAGCCCTTAAAATAGGTGGAGGTGTGGCAGTATTAAACGATGAGTTATACTCACTGTTGGGGTCCACGTTTTCACACAGTTCGGTCTTGGCCTCGCCGTTGGGCCGGTCACTGGGCTTGTGCGAGAGGCGCGACGACATGGTGGCGGCCGTCACCACAGCTTTGAAGCTGCGCTTGCGCTTCTGCACGTTGAGCTCCGGGTGGAAGATGATGACGTAGACCTTTGGCATGTAGAGCATGCCCAGCGCCACTGACGCACTCAGGTTCATGGAGATGGTCAGTGTGGTGGTCTGGATGTACAGCTGGAGAGCAACATGGAAAAAGAAAGTCACCACTGAGGTTTTTACTTCGCTTCCTTTTCTTTTTTCTTCAATAACGTTACATGTTGATGGAACTGGGAATGATTTACAAACCCAAAATCATGGTGTATGTAGTGATCTTCAGAAGTGTTTTAATTGGGTTTAATGCTATTGTTTCATTGTGACAGTCATACACACTGCAGTTGGCCATCTTTGTGGAGAGCTGTGCTTATACGGCAGGGGGTTCTACCCCTCCCACTTCACCCCTCATTGCTCACTAGCAGCTCACCACAGAGTCACAATGTTTCACACAAAGAGAGCTAACAGCTGATAGTTAACTTGATAACAGAGTTACAGGGAGAAATATTTTATTTGATTAAATTAATGAAAATGTTATTATCGATTTCCATTCCGCCAGCTGAATGGCCACTAGGGGGCTGACAGAAAGATACAACAACGATAAAAAGCATAGGCAAAATTCAGGTTCCAAAATGGCCATGTTTTTAGCCACATACATATATTTGTCAATCTTTAAAGCTTAAGCAAGTCTATTTTCGATTGCTTGACAAGTCGACCCGGTTTGAGGCCAATGTGAGATGATTTAGGCCTGCAGTTGGCATAGTGCTCAGGTTCTTGAAGGTTATAAGCTTCCATTACTTAGCTACATTAGTCTTGTTGCTCCAATGAAATAACTAAATAAGCAAACTTCAAACACTCAGCTTGGCTGATCACAATTAAAATAAAATTTTGGTGGAATTTCATAAATTTGAATTTGGTCTTCAGTACAGTGGACTAGCGTACATGGGCTGACTGAGAGGGTCTGGTGGGAGTTTTAAAGTCGTTGTTAAGGGAAATAAGAACGTATAGCAGCATATTTAAACACGGTCCCTCATTTTTCATTCTAGGTTAGCCCAAGTGCTTTTGCATATAGGACCCATGTTCCTGTCCTTTTACACACTGCTTTTAATGTCCACCTTAAATAATTTAGCTGCATCTGCTCTGCATGTAATAAAAGCTTGGATACTATAATGCCAATTGACATTATAGTGCCTCGGAATGAAAAACAAAGCAAAAAACTATGTAATTACTGACCAAAATACATTTTTGAAAGTATGAAGTACTTAGAAAGTATGACAATAAGAAAATTCAGTTTTGTTGCTCTTTCCAACTCATACCATAATAGGGCTGTGAAGGACAGCATGGCATCTCTAAGTAAAGTTTGAAGGTACGTGTCATAACTTTTCTTGGTTAATCAGATGTTTGGGAACACATACAAAAACCATGCTAATCATTTTAAAAGTATAATACTCCATGTACACTATGCTACATGATCATGGTCAGCTTAGAAAAACCCATTCTGTGTGGCTTTCAGCAGTGCAGCGGAGCAAATATAATCTAATACCACATATAAATCTTTCATGAACTGTGGGCTTTTCTGATGAGGAGATCTTTACCACTCCTCCACTTCAGCTAATGTTGAAGGTGAAGGTACATGGTAATTGAGTAAGGCCAAATGGACTGCACATCTCTTTTTCATGAGTTTCGCTGAAGTGGTATTACACTTCCTTACCCTGTCAGTAGAGCTACAATCACAGGCTGGAATCGCATATTAAACTTATGGAAAACTGGGTCTCTGGATGGCTAAAATATTACAGTTAATCCCTGTTTGAAGGACAAAATGAGTAAAAAACAAGAAAAATGGATAAAGGTCAGCTTAGTTGGCTGAAGAGCAAATGAGGGTGGATCCCTTACAGCAAGTAAAACCTTAGCTAATAACTAATAGATATTGTTCTAGTCTTCTGTTATTATCTATTATTAGATATTATCCACCTTAAAGCTTTTAAAGTATTTATGTATGTTTTGAATGCAGTAACTATATTAATCTTATGAGTAGCTGGCTTCATTTACATACAGCCAAACAATCTTTTAGTATGCCAAATAATATATCTATTGGAATAGAAATCTTTATATGAACACTTAAGCAGGATAACTTTTATTATAAATTCTATGTCTAATTAAAAGAGATGCTTAATTTCTGAGCATTTCATTCACTGAGGGCACAACCTTCATGTTGTAAGCTTTAAAAGACTCTGTCAGGCTGAAAATGATTTGTTCGACTATGTGTTTGCAATGAAATGATGGAGTTCAGTCAATCTGTGGAGCAAACGTTAAAAATGTGTTTTTAATTTAGACAGATATTTTAAGAACTGTTAGACAAAACAAAGTAAGGAAAGAGCTACAGTGGTCAGTTTGTGCATTGTTTGAGGCATTTTTATATACAGTGGGTTCCACATTTCTGAGAAAGTGCTAAAATGCTTCTATTTTGCATTCTTTTTATGTTTTTTTTTTCTCATTACGAATTATACTATAAAAATAACAATTTGAGTGAAAAGTAGAATCTTTCAAATTTGGACATGAATTTTAGAATGTCAGCATTTCATACAATATGTTCTTCTTTTGCTTTAATGACAGTATGCAGTGCAGCTGGCATGAGCTTTGGGAATTTATGCGAAAGCCTTTGATGAGCAGATCAAATCTACCTGTGAGTCATCTGAACATGAGCTTCAATGGGAGAGATAAGACTCAAAAACAGTCTGACCTTTTTGTACAAAGGCCTTGAAATGATCAATCTCACAAATTTGCTTAATTTGAATAGGGACCTAGAAATCCTGAATGTTTCTTCTTTATGTTACATTTCTTTGTTCACTACACTGTAAAAAACGGCTCGTCAGATCTACCTAAAAGTTACTTCATATGGTAACAAGCAACTGAACTAGTTTTATCCAACTCAAAAAATGACTTAGATTGAAAGAATCGTTCATTCAAAGTATTTATTTAGGTTGAATAAAACTACTTAATTTACTTGTCACCACATGAAGTCATTTTCTTTAGGTAGATCTGATGAGCCACTTTGTTTCGTTCGTTTCCAGGTGTAGCTGAAAAAAATCCCAGGTTGTCAGTGTGGCCTAAATTCTCCAAATTGCAACAAATACAAAATGGTAAAATTGCTGAGATTTTAACTAAAAAAAGGCTTCATGAGTACAAGTTTAACAGGTGAAATGACTTTAACTCCGAAATTCTGATTGGACAAATGTTGATGGTTGAAAACTGTAGACTGAAAAATAGTCTTACCTTTTTGTACAAAGGCCTTATCATGAAAAAACTCACAAATTTGCTTAATTTGAATAGGGACCTAGAAATCTTGGATATTTCTTCTTTATGTTACTTTTCTTTGTTCACTACACTGTAAATAGTGGCTCGTCAGATCTACCTAAAAATTACTTCATGTAGTAACAAGCAATTGAGCTCGTTTTATTCAACTCAAAAAATTACATTGATTGAAAGAATCATTCATTCAAAGTATTTATTTAGGTTGGATAAAACTAATTTACTTGTTACCACATAAAGTAATTTTTTTAACTAGATCTATTGAGCCACTTTTTACAGTGTATTTTTAAAAAAATCTAAAACTTTGTTTCGTTTGTTTCCAGGTGTAGCTGAAAAAATCCCAGGTTGTCAGTGTGACCTAAATTCTCCAAATTGCAACAAATACAAAATGGTAAAATTGCTGAGATTTTAACTAAAACAGACTGCATGAGTACAAGTTTAACAGGTGAAATGACTTTAACTCCGAAATTCTGATTGGACAAATGTAAAAAAAAAAAAAAGTGGAAAAATGTAGACTCAAATACAATCTGACCTTTTTGTACAAAGGCCAACATGATCAATCTCACAAGATTTGCTCCAATTGAATAGCAACCTAGAAATCTTGAATACTTCTTCTTCATTTTACTTTTCTTTGTTTGCAATTTTTTTTTAAATTCTATTTTTTTTTCCCAGGTTTAACTGAAAAAAATCCCAGGTTTTCAGTGTGGCCTGATAAAATTGCTAAGCTTGTAACTTAAAAAGTCTGCATGAGCTCAAGTTAAACAGGTGAAATGACTTTAACTCCTATGAAATTCTGATTGGCCAAACAATTGGGCGAATAAAAACACACCATTGTTCCTTCATACGTGTAACTGGGTGGTTGAAAAATGTACACATCCTCTGTTCCACAGAGATTTACAATCACATGCAAAAGCTTGAACAGCCCTGGTCAAAATATTTTGTAGATTTCTTCTTTTTTTGGACAAATTTTAGTGCACAATTACTATTTTTGGTGGAAAAAATACTATTATTGGAAAAAAAATGAAGCATAAAATGAAAAACGTGCCATAACTTTTTCTACAGGCCACATTTTATGATATTCTATTTTTTAATAATATGTTACAATGTTTGTGACCCTAGCAGGATTAAGCAAAGATGATTAATGAATGAATGAATGTTACAATGTTTAAAAGGGTGAACTTATTTTCACATAGAAAATCAGCAAAACGTTATTCGACCAGAGGCGGTCAAACTTTTACACAGAGCTGTATGCTTGATTAAATAACTGTCTGGCCACAGAGATCCATATTCCTATCTTAAAACTGGTCTGAATGTAACTCACAAGTAAACATCCCCACTAATATTACCATCTTTGCATAATATTGGAGACCATTGAGATCTGTTGCTGAGCCTTTTCTTCAACCATTTTCAGTTTGTGTTTATGTGGGGTTTCTGAACAGTCATAAAGAGTAGATGAACACTGTTTACTAACCTCAAGCCAGCACTAACCTGAACCCTTATTGCTTTATTCATTATATTCCACAGGCAATGGGAATAAGAAATGATATTTTACTCATAAATAACCATAGTGCTGCGAGATTGCTCAGTGGTTAGAGCTGCTGACTAGCAAGTAGGGGGTTGTAGGTACAGTCCTGTGCATGTGCCATGGGAAAAACACCTTGTACTGCAGGATCTAAGCCTCCTGCCCTGTGTGTGCTGCTGCTCTAGCCTTTGGCAATGCTCAGCTGCTCCCGAGGTGAAACCCCTGCCACTCCTGCCACCTCATTCCTCTACCCCAGGGCACGCTAGTAAACACGAATATATTCTCAGTGTACAGTCCTGCAGAATACCATCAG